GGCCACCCGCCGCAGCCTCAGCATGGCCCCGCGCTGCCGCCGACCCGCCCGCTGTGGGGGTGGAACCGCCCCCGCGCCCGCCCCCGGGCAGCCTCCGCTAATGCGCTGCGGGGTCGGGGTGGAGAAACGGAGCTGCTCCCCAAGCAGCACCCACGCGCGGGCAGCTGCAGACGCCTGGAGAACCTGTGGTGCCCTCTCACTGGCGGGGAGCCCGCGCAGGCCTTGCCCGCGCCGATCTAGGTTGGGACTTCCCCGGCTTCTGGGCTTTGCTGCTGGCCCCTGCCCCCGCCCCCTTTTCTACTACATGAACTGGGACGTTTAAAAGCCTCCCTCAGAGGAGCTGGGTGTTGGCTGCAAAGGCTGGAGACTTCGACTGGGCTGTGCCAATGTTTCCGCTGGACCAAAGCCAGAGGCTTCTGGCTAGGGGTCTTGCCCCTCCACTCAGGGTCTCACCTGTTGCCATATTTGGGATCAGGAAGGAATTGTGCCCCATGATCAGATTGGTTCAGTCTGTGGGGGTTTTGCCTTCCTTTATAGCGGTGGGGACAGGCCTCTACCCCAGATCTCTTGAACATATATTGACAACATTTCATAGAAGCAGGACAGTTGCTGCTGTGGTCCCTCAGCTTTGCCTGTAGCAGGTTAAGGTATTAGATCTCTGTTGTGTCAAGGTTGATCATAGGCTTGTGTAGAGTTTAGATTTTGATTTGTATGGGATGATTTGGATAGAAATGTTCCTGTCTCAGGCAGCAGGTTGGACTAGATGACTTCTGGAGGTGGCTTCCAGCCCTGCTACATTATTATTCTATGACTGAAGTCACCAGGACTCTGGGGGCTGGGCTCAAGGGATCGGGGGCCCTCTGTGCTCCCAGTTGCAGGCCACGGTCCCAGGAGGGAAGGATGCGTCAAGGAAGCTTCATAGACATTAGGGCTGGAAGGGATCTCAGAAGATTATCGGGTCCAGCCCCCTGCCCAAAGGGCAGGAAGTCAGCTAGGGTTAAAGGATCCCAGCAAGATAAGCATCCAAATGTTTCTTAAAAGTATCCTGTGTAGGTGCTTGCACCACCTCTGGGGGAAAGTCTATTCCAGGCCTTTGGGGCTCAGACAATAAAGAAGTTTTTCCTTATGTCCAGCCAAAACAGTCTTGCAGGAGTTTGTGGCCATTGGACCATGTCATCCCTTGGGGTGCTCTGGTAAACAGGCATTCCCCCAGATCCTGATGCACACCCCTTCTGTACTTATAGGCTGCCACCAAGTCACCCCTGAGCTTACGCTTCGCCAGGCTGAAGAGTCCCATGGCTCTCAGCCTCTCTTCATAAGGCCTGTTGTCTTGCCCTCTGATCATGCGCGTGGCTCTCCTCTGGCCTCTTTCAAACTTCACAATTTAGGGAGGACATGGAGGAGCCCAGAATTGGATGCTGTACTCCAGCTGCGTCTTCACCAAGGCCAAGTACAGTGGGAGGATGACATCCTGAATCTTGCTTGGGATGCATTGGTAGATGCAAGCCAGAGTTTTGTTCACTTTGCCAGCTGCTGTATCGCATTAGTGGCTCATGTTCATCTTGTGGTCAGTTGTGATCCTGAAGTCTCTTTCAGTCATGGCGATAGCGAGTATAGCATTGCCAAGCCTTCAAGTGTGATGTGCATTTTTCCCCCTGAGGTGGAGCACCTTGCATTTCTCCATGTTGAATGCCATCAGGTTTTCACCCACCCACCTTGCAAGCCTGATGAGGTTGGCCTGCATCACCAGCCTATCCTTAAGTGTAGACCCTTTCCCCTCAAGTTTGGTGTTGTCAGTGAATTTAGCTGGTCCTCTTCTAACACCAGAGTTCAGATCATTTATAAAAGACATTAAAGAGTACAGGTCCAAGAACAGAGCCTTGGAGGACTGTGACGGGAGTATCACTACTGGAGTCTTTCTAGTGGTGACTCCGCCCTCCTGTTATGGGCCAGCTGCCTGCTTACTCTCCTGCCATGCCTTGATCTTAATTGATTGAGAGTTGTAATTAGCAGGAGGCTACCCACTTTATACGCTGCAGTGCCAGGGGGCGCTATCTGCGGCTCCTTTTCCTCCCCTACACTGCAGCCCAAGCCTCGCAGATGGTACTGACGGGATTTTGACCTGGGCCCTGCTGTGATTTGGCCCTCTCCTTTACCTCCCTGGGGCTTCCCACTGCCCCTCCCTTTGCTCAAGGCTTCCCACAACTGCCTGCTCGGAGCTGGGGTCAGTGTACCCCAAAATGGGACCCTCTGGTGCCAGGGTTCCCATGCCACCGTGGAGCCCCTATGAGGCCTCCTCCAACCCCTCATAGCCTCACCCAGTCCTTTGGTCAAAACAGTAAACACAAGAACACAAAGCCCCCGGGCTACAACATAAAAGCTAAACCATCCAGTCAAACAACATTCAATCCCTACCAGCAAGCACTCTAACCCCAGCAGCGACCAGGGGATGCCCCCACCGCCAGAGTTCTCCCCTCCATCTGTACTAGCCAACTCCTCCTCCCTTGGTCACCAGAGGCAAACTGTCCTCCTAGCCTCCTGCCTGGGCTTAAGAAGGGCTAAGCCCTGCCCCTTCCTGTCAGCTGGTTTAACTGGTTGCCCTAGCAACCAGGACCTGTGCTGCCCTGGTGACTGGCAGCTAAGCCTCCCCCTTCTCACCACTAGGGGTCTCTCCTGAGCCGTTTCTGTTTTCAGGCACAGGGCACCTAAGTGCTCTGTGACAGGGACACCTCTGGTTACTAAGTGCCATGTTGATTCGCTTCTGTCAGCTACGACTCTCTGGGTCCGACCTCAGACCCAGTTCCTCAGCCATCAGACTGTAGTATAGTCAAGGCCTCAGTTGCCCAATTTTCCCATTAGGACATTGTGGGACACCAGGTCAAAGGCTTTTTTGAAGTCCAAATAAATTATATCAACCTCTTCCCCTTTGTCCAGGTGATACGTCACCTGGTCATAGAAAGAAATGAGATTGGTCATGAGAGGGATGTGGACAGCATCGAGAGGGTCCAGAGGAGGGCCACTCGTATGATCAAAGGACAGCAGGGTAGGTCCTATGAGGAAAGGTTGCGGGACCTGAACCTGTTCAGCCTTCAGAAGAGAAGGCTGAAGGGGGATCTTGTGGCCTGTTATAAACTGGTTAGGGGGGATCAGCAGGCACTGGGGGAGTCCCTGTTCCCCCGAGCGCCGCAAGGAGTGACCAGGAACAATGGTCACAAGCTGGCGGAGGGAAGGTTTAAGTTGGACATCAGGAGGCGCTACTTCACGGTCAGGGCGGCTAGGGTCTGGAACCAGCTTCCAAGTGAGGTGGTGCAGGCTCCCACCCTGGGGGTTTTTAAGAGGAGGTTGGATGACCACCTTACTGGGGTCATTTGACCCCAGTGCTCTTCCTGCCATGGCAGGGGGTCGGACTAGATGATCTGCTCAGGTCCCTTCCGACCCTAGAAACTATGAAACTATGAAACTATGGTCAGGCAAGACCTACCTGCGACAAAACCGTGCTGGCTGTCCCTCAGAACGTTGCCTTCTGTTAGCCTGTCGAGACTGGTTTCTTTGATAATTTTTTCCAAGATCTTTCCAGGGATTGAGGTCAAACTGATAGACCTGTATTTTCCCAGATCTTCTTTCCTCCCTTTCTTGAAGATAGGCACCACATGGACCCTCTTCCAATCTCCAGGTTCTTCACCTGAGCGCCATGAATTATCAAATATCCTTGCCAGTGGCCACACTATGATGTCTGCTAGTTCCTTTAGCACCCTTGGGTGCAATCTGTCCGGACCAGCTGATTTGCAAGTATCCAGTCTCTCGAGGTGCTCCCTCACAAGATCTTCACCAATGGTAGACTGGCGTAGATCTAGTGAACCGATGACTCCAACACTGGTGCAACTGAGGGGCCTTTAGCTTCCTTGACCACAACACACACTTCAGGGAGTGAGGACTCCTGGGAAGGGATGGCATCCACCTCACACAGAGAGGTAAGTCCTTGTTCTCGGCCAGGATAGCTGATCTTCTAGATAGGGCTTTAAACTAAGATTGCTGAGGGACGGGAAAACACTGACTGGACCATGCCCGGGGACCAACATACAAGAAAGCTCCATAGATAGGGACACTAGGAGAACCACTCTTGCAGGAACGGAGGGAATAGTTCCCCTTCAGCAGGACAGGAAACCCAGGGTCTCAATAGGAGGACTCAGGTGCCTGTACACTAATGCCAGGAGCATTGGGAACAAGCAGGAGGAGCTAGCCCTCCTGCTCTCCAGTGGGCATTACGGTCTAGTAGGGATTATGGAGACCTGGTGGGACTCCTCACATGATTAAAGCATAGCTATAGAGGGCTACACCCTACATAGAAGAGGCTGGGGAGGGAAGAAAGGTGGAGGTGTAGCCCTGTATGTAAAGGAGCAGTACACTTCCTTGGAGGCCAACATCGGCTCCAAAGAAGAATGGCTTGAAACCCTCTAGATCAAGCTGCAATGGGGGGCATGGCAAGAGAGGCTTAACTGTAGGTGTATACTACAGACCATTAAACCAGGGGGAGGAACTCGATCTAGAGTTCGCCTGAGAACTGACAGAGGCTGCGCGTGCACAGGACATGGTTGTCATGAGCGACTTCAATTATCCAGACATCTCTTGGGAGCAACACTTGGGCAAGTTGGATTGGTCAAGTTCCTTCCTGACCTGCATTGAAGAGCTCTTCCTGA